TGCCAGCTTTGATAATTTGTAACTTTTTGTCTTTGCATTATCGCTGCTGACAATTGAATTTGTTATGAAGATAGAGTAACTGAGCCAGCTTAAATTAAAATTAAATTGTATAGTCTTTGACCACTAGTCCACATTTTTTTATTTGACTGTTCTTGTTTAATTAAATCACCACAAACTGCAATTAATTTAGTTAGCATAAGAACATGCCTTTAAGTTCTTTTTAAATAAAAGAGGCTTGAGACATAGCGATAACTTGCTTCATGTTGACGGGCGTATTTGGACTACTTAACTCTTACCAGATCAAAGTAAACCTTCATAGGTACATTGTGGAGAGGTTGACAAGTTAGGAGATAAAGCACGCAGAAACTAGTGAGATTGAGACAATCCATAATGACTAAGGTTATCTAACTACCTAATTTATTTATTTATAATTAACTGCTTACCCTTAAAAATTATATCTGTATATTAAAGTGAGTTATTGCCTTTCATTAATCCTTAGTGTGGTACAAGATAAAACACAAAAATGTAAAAATTCATGTAAAACTAATTCTTCATCTTTAATTAGACCCAAAATACAAAACAACTTAGTGTCATCTCTGGTGTTTTAGTGGCTTATTGGAACCTTAAAGTATATTAACTGGGATACAACCCCTGGAATTCTGCATGGAGCTACGACACTAACTCCAACAGACAAGAGTCCAACTAACTTTCAAAACTTGCCAACTGGGCTCACATCAGGCCTTTCAGTTTTGTTCTGATCAGCAGGTCTCTCTCTAGGCAAGGAGCAGCGGTGACAACAGCCAGTCTTTTGTTATAAAATCATTCTAATTATGGTTTTACTTCTTATTTTAACCTATGACGCTTGACATAAAATCTACCTACTATTTACTAAACCTATAGATTGAGCAAGTAATGAGACATGATAAAAAAAATCAACATGAAACTAACTATTAGTAAAACGTAAATAAAATGTCACTTATCTTCTTTCAAATATGCCGAGCTATCATAAGTGTAAAATATTTAATGCTATTTGATAAATTTCGTAAAGTATAGTGTATCCTCAAGCTTATTATGTTAATTAAGTTATGTTTAATAAGAATGCATCCTAATTATGGATCTATTTTAATTTTTGGATGGTATTACATGAGTGAAATTCAGGATAGATAATATTTTTAATTGAATTTATTAATTTATTTGCTCATAGGTCCTTAATTTTTTTCATTAATGGTCCTTAAAAGTACTTAATTTCCTTGTGCAGAAATGTGTAGGAACCCTGTTTAAAAAAATAGATTGCTTTTCAAGTGACCTTGGAAATACCCTCTAAATAAAACATAGTAACATCCACTCCTTAAATATAACTTTTGTATGCGTGTGTGTGTGTGTGAGAGAGAGAGAGAGAGAAAGAGGTATTTCATATTATGAACTGAAATGGACCATCCTATGTACTGCTGTATGATTTTGACACAGTATCTATTTGTTATGCAAAGGCTTTTATTTCTTTAGTTTAGGGTGATCATAACAATATAGCTTTTTGGTGTATTCAAGATGGCAGTTTTATTGAAGGAAGTAATCTGGTGATATAATCTTCATAAAGGAATGCAGATGGTCAGGAAGAATATTTATTTATAAAGCTAGAGTAAATGATAAAAGGCTATGAATATGAAAAAGTTTCATTTGTTTGTATTGTTCTAATTCAGCAAGGAGTTATGGTAGGATTTTCCATTCAGAGGCTTATCCTTGAGAGATTTAAGCTCCGCTTTTATTAGTGTAATATGAACGGGTAGTGCTATTGGTAAAATTGCATTTGAATACGGATGACCGGTCATACTGTTGCATTGGTTTTGCACTTATGGAAGTTCAGTGATCAATTGCATTTACTGCCACCAGATATCTGTGTGTTTAACCTGTGTAATTCAGACTGTTTAAGATACATGAATTCAATTTTTTGAGGAATTTTTATTTCAGCTTATGAATTTTGATAGTCAAGCATGTTAGTAGTTTTAATACACATTACGAATCTATGATTTTCATGGAACTTTAAGTAATTTAAAAAAAAAAAAAAAAAATTCTCTACATTTATAGAAGCCATAAATGTTTATGAAATAAAATATGATTAAAACTAAAATGTACTATTAATATTAACGCAAAACAAACAAAATGGTGAAACTTATTTAAAAAATAGCTGGTACTTTAAAAAACAAAGCAGTTGTAACTGAAAAGATTGTAACAAATGTTCACAGAATTTCCTATGCTTTTCAATATATATAATTGACTGCCACGTGAGATTGTATATTTTAAAAGTATGCCCAAATTTTGGAGGAAAAAAATGATATGTAGTAGCAAGTTTTAGTGATAATTCCTTAAACTTTGAAATTTTTGTTGAGTTTGAAATGAAAGAATAATAGGTAAACATAAAATTTATTCAATTTTTCAGTGTCATATCTAAATAATTTATTAGAAATCTCATTTATATTTTAAAATGCATTATTTGCAGTTACATTTTATGTATGACTCTTAAAATATTATTTTTAATTTATTAATTTTAAATTCACAACCCTCTTAATAGTATAGGAAAAGTTGTAAGCTTTTTTACTTCTATGTACATGTATTTTTATGGAAATAATTCTTTCTGTAGTTTAATTTTAATATCTTTTTATGAGCATTTCGTACCATGTATTTAGATGCAAGTTTAATTTATTATCTTAATTTAATATATTAATTCCAGATGTAATTTAGCCTTAATTTTTAGACATTTACTGCTATACCTTATTTTTCTCGTAATATGACAAACAAGTTTTGACCTTTTATTATTATTATTATTATTATGGGGATTGATCAGTTACATGTGTTTAACTGCAATTTGGCATTTGGCTGGAAGATTTGTGCTATTAACAAACATAGTCTTGAGTTACAGTGTTGAGAGACATGCAGTTAAAATCTCAGATGTACATTTATTGTAGGGCGACAGACTGTCTTCCATCTGAGCCATAATAAATGTTTCTGATATTACTGTTAACCATGGTTATTTTTTCTGTAATTGTTTTCTTGTGTTTAAGGCCATAACAAAGTGATAAGCTGCATGCTTATGTTGCATGATACATGGCACTGCTCATTTTCACATTTATTAACTTTTCAGTTCATTATTTTCTGAAAGCTAGTTATTTTTAATAATTTGTTTTGATCTTTAAGGAAAAATTTTCTCCTTTTTTAAATTGAAAGGCAGTTAGTTATGTGTATCTTTTTACAGAAGTTATAAATATTGAAATATTTTAATATCTTTTAGTGGTAAATATTTAATGTCAAAACTTTTAGTAAATGATAATTAAAGTATTAGGTCTTTTAACCTAGTGTTTAAATTTCATTTATCAAAGTTTATTAAATTTATTGAAATTTCATTTATCAGAATTCATTAAATTTTGTGAAGTCCAGTTACTAGAATAATTTTCAGACATACTTTGGTTATTCCTGAGATCATTCGCAAGTCACGAAAATCAAAATTTTCCATTAGTTTTCATGTTAAAGTCTATATCCCCCTTAAATATTTATATGTGCTGTGGCAAAATTAAAAGTATGTTATTTTATGTCACAGTAGAACTGATGTTGCAGTATTGTTATGAATATTTGTATTCTTATAACCTAATAATTAGAAAAAACATTAGTTAATTTTTAAACTTTTCCAGAATTATGCATTACTAGGTTTCTCTTTTTTTCCCTCCCCCTCTCTTTGCCTTTATTTTCTCCATCATTTACTTTCTGGCTGATTTTATACTGTAGCAGACTTGTTTGTAAAGTGAAAGAAATTTTACTTATATGTTCATATCATAAATTATTAGCAGGTGCAGTCTGATTTAAAATATTAATAGGTTTATGTATCTGTACATTATATTGGTTGGATGCAAAAGATTTTTACTCTTTCAACTATTAGGTTAATTTGATTTTATACTAACTAAGTGTAGTTTTAATCTACAATAAATTTAGTGTCACCATCAGTTACTTGTCAATGTTTGGTGATTGACAAATACTCTTTCTACTAATGATTAAACTGAGAATGAGTGCTGTTTGTATATGTAAGTGCATATGCCCTTTATTGCAGTTTATCTTCTCTGTAAATCTGTTCTGAGGATTATGACTGCAGGATTTATTTATAATGAAAAATAGGTAGAAGTTGCTGAATTACTGTGCAAAAACAGTTGTGAACAGTTGCATAAGAATTTTTTAATTGATGTGCTGATTGAAGATCTGAAGGCAATAATTAATGTTTGATGGAAACAAGCTTCTTAAGACATTTACTAAACACTCAGCATGTCATGTAATTGAAGTTTTGGATCCAGTTCTTTAAAAGTTTTTTTTTTTTTTTTTTTTTTTTGTCTTATTCTTTATTTTCTATCCACTAGCACATATGCGTGATACTGATGTAGGCACTGATTTTAATCCCTAATGATTGTAGAATCTGTCCACGTGTGAGATACAGGAAAAAATACAAATGTTGATCAGAGTTACACTATGGCAGTGGATGAGTGACACACTAAAACCATACTACTTATATGCCTTAGATGATTTGTAGTTAAATGATAAATTTGAGGCTTGTTGCAGTCTTATGAATGTTGGGAGTAGATCTGATTCTCATCTTTGATACTATATCTTTGAATCAGTTGTTGACAGGTTTGGTGAATTGCAGTATAGGTGAAAAAATACTAAAAGCCTGACATTACTATCACTACAATAATGTAAGCCAAATCACAAATATCTTAAAAGCATTGCATAACAGTATCTCTTTTGAACTTCTAATTACTGTATCATGACTAAAACTGTTCAAATAGGCACTAGCTTTATAAGTAGATATAATATACATGGTCCTAAAATTGTGGAATGATTGAGATATGTAATCTAGAGACTTCATGAAAACCCACAGAACTTTTGCACCAGCCAATATTTTGCTATTTATTTATTTGTTATGCTAGTGTATTGGTGTTTGAGCGATGTCTTTCTCTTTATTTTAGGTTTTCTTGGCATAAAGCAAGTGCTAAGAGACATAAAAGGATAAAAGAACTTTTTTAAAAAATGAAAAAGTAGAACATCTGTGTAAGAATGAAAATGTCTGTTTCTCCTGAAGAATCATCTCCTGTTACGTATGTTACAGAGTCATGTTGTGTATGTGATGAAGAATTTTCATCTGACACTGAACTTTCAAATCATTTGGTGGAGCATGCAAATGATGAAGAATTTCAGTCAAAACTTAAAGAAGCAGAACAAAATGTAAACAAATCTTCCACAAATCGTGTCGCTGCTGAGTATACAAAGACCGGTTTTGTGAAAGAACAGAATGCAAGGAAAAGTGCTGTACCACGATCGTCATCTCCAGAAGTATGGGAAATTGTCAGTGATGATTCAGATGATGACGCTAAAAAAAGTAGCAAAGTACCGAAGCTTTCGAATAGTTTTCGATTAGTGAGTACACCAAATAAAACACAGACTACTCCTGCCATTGAACCAACTGTGACAACTCCAGTTACAGAACCAGGTCCTCCTTATAACTGTCGGATTTGCAAAACAGTGTTTCAGGATCTAAAAACGTTTCAAGAACATTTGTTAACGCATGAGAAACCTAGACCATATGTGTGTCAAATTTGTAATAAATCATTTGCATATAAGGGAACATTACGTCAACATTTGCATATGCACATAGGAGAAAAATCTCATGAATGCAAAGTTTGTCACAAGAAGTTTTCAATCAAAAGCCTTCTGCGTAAGCATGAAGAAACTCATGATATGCAACTGATGAATGAAAGATTAAACAGTTCTCAGTTAAAAGTCTAAAAAGCAAATCTGTGCATAAGTCCTTCATATGTGTTTTTTATTTAGATTTTAAAGCCATATTTAAAAGAGGTCATGTATGAAAGTTGCCAAGTTTACGGTTAAGTCACATTTTTGAAATTTAAAGAAGTGCTTTTTTATGTCATTTATACGTTTATAATTTTTCTCTATGCATTTTAAATCTGTGTTGATAGAAAGTAAGTAATGTTACATTTACATGTAAGACTGGGAATGTCATCATTAATTCGTTCAGTTTCTTTTATAAAAAATGTCTTATAATGTATGCTCATATATTTTCATTTATGCTGAAATAATGCAATCGAAAGTGGTCCGAATTCCAAGCTAATTGCAGTATATGAGTGCAGTTGTCTTAATGATCCTCTGAATAATAAATTCAATTCATTTTTTGTTTAGTCCTTCCAAGTTTGAAGTTATTAATTTTCTTAATGTAAACTTCTTAGTTTGAACTCTACCAGATTTTACAAGTGTTTACACTTGTGTGCTAGACTGATAAATGTGATATGCATTAAGAAGAAACATGCTCTCAAAAGAGATGCAGTGTAGAACCTGAAAGCATTCTTTCAAGTTTCACCCTCTCTTTCTATTTTAACTTAGTAAGCAAAAGTAAATACAGAACTAAGGGAGATATATTGCCAATGATGGAGCCATATTTTATTATATTTTCAAAAATGAATACTATACTTAAATTTAAGTAATATTTCCAGTTGGATTTTATGCTGATCATCAGTGTGTTTTGCAATAAGCAGAAATTTGTATTGAATAAAGTTTCTTCGGAATGGAAACTTTCTGTTATTTATATATTATATTTTAAGAGCTAAAAATGGTCTTGTTTTGTTATGTTGCTGGCTTTGGGTTCTTGCTTGAAAACTTAAGCTTGAAATGGGTGTCCATTATTTAACCCATTGAAATCTAGGGCCCTGGTTATTAGTAAAGGGCTGGTGATTTGCAAAAACATCTGCATATTGGTCTTGTTTTGTTATATTTCTAGTTTTAATTATTGGCCTTGTCATAAATTGGCATCTTTTCTGTTATTAAAAAAATGCACTTAATAATTCTTACCATATTTTCTAATATAGTTTCTTAGAATTTGAATTATTGTGATTTCTTATCTAAAATACTTTTAAAATGGTTGTACCAAATGATGTAAATCCAAAATTTTATTCTTGAATTCTTGAATCTTTTGAATTACTGATCCTCTTCCCTTGAACTGAAATTTTTAAAGATGTGACTTAATGAATCAATGAATCACAGAAGAATTATTAATTGTTTCGTATTAGAAATGTTTTGCTAACTCTTTCAGTGTAGTCTATACAGACTATACTGATGAAAGAGCCTTTGTTTATATACAGACTATACCTAGAATATTTTTTGTTTATATTAAATAATTCTGTGAGTCATTTAAAGGTACCACTGTCATAACATTTCTTTTGTTCAAATAAGAAATGGATTTCTGCAAGTAGAACATATGTATCGATATTAAAATAAATTCAAAATCATATTCACCATTAGAATAATGACTTAGTGTTTTTTCCCCTTTTGAAATGGGGAAAAAAGGAGGGGGAAATACTTGTAAAAAGTAATTAGGAAATGAAATTACCCAATTCACCACATAAACCAACATTGTGTAAAAAAAAATCATACAAAAAATACACAATAGAAAAGCACAAATGAAATTTCATTAGGAAGTTAGTAAATGAGAAAAATAAAAGAAAAATGCCTGTTTCTTTTGAATTGACTATTCCAAAAATATAAAAAATTATAATCTTAAATCAGGGAAACAAATTAAATGAAATCAATACATTCATCATTCCAACATCAACAGGCTGAAATGAAAAACACACCTTGCTCAAAACTGACCATTGAACAGTACAGTAAAACCATACCAAACACGGGGGTTTATGTTATTAACGTATTATGCAGTCATATTCTGCAGAGTTAATTTTCTGGGGAGAAATGAATATGGGTTAGATGTAGTTCAAATTAAGAAAGTATCTATAATTCATACAAACTTTGTAATTTAAAAAGAAAAAAAAAAGCTCCTTAGACTTTAAATGTTAGTTGATTTTATTACTACTTAATAAGTACATGATAAAATTATTCTCTTAAAAGTCAAGTGATTTTTGCTTAAGACAATGACTAGCACAATTCTTTAAATGTTTGGTGGTGAGGAAAACAGAGTTTTTCAATTCCTCTCTTAAAATGCCCTCCTATTTTTTCAGTTGGGTCAATCTTCATAACAAAATCAGACAGGTCCTGTGCATTTTCTGACAATTTGTGTAACTTCTTGTATGCTAAAGGCTCTTTATTTTCTTCACTATTGCTCCTTTCATTGTTGGCTGGTGTCATTGTTGGTCCAATTCTTTGTTGTCATTCTCCACTAATTCTTTAATTTCTTCTTTTTCCATATCTGAAAATTATTTGCCACCTATTGCTTTTGAAATTTGTGTGATTTCCTTGGCTTCATTTCCAATTGATGGAAATCCTTTAAAATTGTTGAGAACTTCTGTTCAGTGCTGATGGCAGCAAGCATTCATTGTTGAAAAATAAACTTTGTCCCATCAAATTTTTTTTTTTTTTTTTTTTTTTTTTTGTTGAATTGCTTTCAAAATACTGGAGCTCATTGGATCTCGGCTCCTGTGCTTCTTAATTTGTGTAATAAATCATAATTCTAGCCAGAACACACCGGAGCCCTGAATAAGAAGGCTGCGGCACTTCTTTTATGTAGTTGAATAACAATTTCAGCAGCAATTTTATTTTAACAATAAAATTATATTAAAAATCACTCATTAAATTTCAATTTTTTTCTTTACATTTTATTTAATTACTTAAATCTTTAATTATTTCAATAAATAATAATTAATTATATAATAATTATCAATTAAATTATAATTAATTATATAATAATTATTGATTAAATAACAATTTGTAAACATTAATTAAACAGCTGTTAATTAATTCGATAATAATTAACTATTTAATTAAAAAATTATTAATGAGTTCAATAGCTGTTAAGTATTTAGTGTTAGTTTGTAAATACAAAAAACTGCTTTTAGTAAAGTTTTGGTATTTATCAGCACTTTTCATACTTCTTGTTTAATTTATAACAAATGTTACAAAATAATCTAAATAAATGTATTTTTCTAGTTTTGTGAAAGGGGTGATCTTTTAGCAATAGTGAAGGGGGTGCATGGTGCAAAAAGTTGAGAACAACAGTCTAGTAATTTACTTGTAGAGATGTAAATACGCTTGACAGTAGGTTTTCAATATTTTATGATTCCTTAATTCATTGGTTAGATTAAGGAAGTGGTGTTCGGTTAAAGCAATAAAACATCTACATTTGTATGCAATGGAGCGGCTTCAGTACCATGTCCTGGAGCATTATCAAGAATTAGGAGAACTTTAAAGATTGTTTTTTGCAGTTTCAAGTAATGTTTGAATGAATGAATTTTCAAACCAATCATTAAGAGAAATATTACAACATAGCTGGTGCTCTGTAGCCTACCACATATAATTGAAATTCTCGTGCTCGACAAATTAAATTAAAACAACTAAGATAATGCCCATACACAAAATCGTGTTCCGAAAGTTGAAAAATTGAAAAAAGCAGTACAAAGAACAATTAAAACTTTAAGATTAATTAAATTTTAAGATAGAAGAGAAACATATCAAGTAGAACATAAAATTTGGTGAAGCAACAACCTTGTGTTTTTTTTTTCCATAAATTTTAGTCAAGACTTTATCAATTTCAAGGGCCCTTTTCATCAGGAACAAAGAAATCTGCAGTGAAGGGAAAGCCAAGGTTATATTTACACCTAAAAGGAGTAAAGCCAACAAGAATGTAGGCAGAAATAGTAGCATTAGGTAGGACTGGATAAATTCCAGTCATTCCTAACACATAAAAAGTATATTAATTTTTCAATTTTATTACTATTTCTGTATTACTATTTATTAATTCTTTTTATTAAATATTAGTTTTTGAGTATGTGTGGGGTTTTTTTTGGGGGGGGTATGTGTGTGTGTTTCGTGTGCTGCAGTTTTCATGGGGCTAATTAAAGTAGGCTTGGAGAGTTGCAGCTCACTTGTATATTAAATTGTGTACTATTTCTTCTGAGAGATGATGCTACCTTCTTGTTCGCTTTACTCTTTTTAGGCATAAATACAAGTATGTTTTTCGGTGTCTTTTCTTCTGATAAAGAGGGAACTGTATGTGTTTGCCCTCAAAATCGATAGAATCTTTAAAATCTACACCAAACACAAGGTTATTGTTTTGCTTAATTTAAAATTTATTAAATTTTTATGAAATCTGTAATGCTTAACAAATAATGCAAAATAAATACTGTAATCTGAAACAAAGCAAGTAGCTTCAGTCATTTAAAACAAGTAACATGTCCGAAACCAAAATTTCATGTTCAAAGAAATAAATATGATAATTGTTTTATATAAAAACTCCTAATTAAATTAGAAATGTTAATATTAAAATAGTTACAAATACAGAGTAAAGTAAATTAAAAAATGATAAGGAAAATAAGAAAACTTTGATTAATAAATGAACAAAAGTTTGAGAGATTTAAAATTCATTTGCCTTTATCATTTGCACTCTTTTATATTTGCAGTAATTTTCTTTTTACATAAAATTAGTTTGGAGATTTTGAAATAGTTTTCATTTACTCATTATTTTTACAATAGCTTTTTTGCATCTGTGAAGGGAAAAAAGCTGTGTTCCAATTTATAATTCCATTGATGAATATGATTTTGAACTTAATTTAATAAACATTCTCACTAAATTAACATTGCTTGCAGCACGTGTTTTGATTTTGGTTTCGAACTTGATTTGTGCTTTGTAAGAACTAGCATGTATAAATTTGCTTTTCAGAACTCTACAACTTAATTAAGCTTTTCAGAACTCTTAACAACAAATTATACTTTTCATTTTATCACTCTGTTGCTTGATTCTAAGATGCTACTGGTTGTAAAGCACATGTTTTAATTTTAGTCCCATCAGCAGGGGTAAAAAAAATTAATCTAGAAAATCCAGTGTTAAAATGTACATAATATTTTAAATATTTTTAAAGTAATAGAATTTGATGTAGTAATAATGTAATTTTTTCTAATCATCAGTATTCTAAATCATAGTATCATTCTAATTCACATTTAAAGTGTGATTTTTCTAAACAGTGGATGTTGTTGGTCACGGAATATTTTCAAGTGAGTAAAAGAAAAAAACCATTAAGTGCCTTATGTTTAAGTGCAGCAAAGTTAAGAGATTCTAAAGTGCATTTGTTTTTAGAAACATTTATATAGGGAATAAAAGTTTAGAAACAACAACAAAAAACAAAACAAAAAACTTGCTGTTTCTTAAAAGTCTTTTTCAACTATTAACATGTCATGAACTGTTGTTTGATTACCATTCATGGATTTCTTTGTTTTCCTTTCAAGAAAGGAAAACAAAGAAGTTGTTGAACATCATTTGAATGGTCTGGAATGAAGAGAATTCAAACACTTAGAAGTTTTGTCTGTAGATCTTTAACATTTCTTCAGGCAACATTTATCCTCCTTCCAACAGCATAATTTACCTGTATGTGCGGTTAGCATCATTAAAAAAAGGCCGGTGTTTTTCATAATCACTTGTAATTTATTTTATCTTGCTTGTTAAGATTCAGTAATGCCATTAATCCAAACGAATTTTCTTTTCTTTAAATTTTTTATTCAGTTTTATAATTTTTTTTGAGCACTTTGTATTATAATTCCAAGTGTTTTGTTCTGAATATTTTATTCATTTGTAACTTTTATTATGTGGTCACAACAATGTGAAATTCTCAGTAAAAGGAACAAATAAAATAGTATTCTCAGTAAAAAGAACAAGGAAAGAATCTCTGAATGCTTTTTTCCTTATTGCTACTAAGTTTCTTATATATTGTTTAAAGTCCAAATGATTACTCCTCAAATGCTTTATACAAAGAATGTTCTTGCACTGCAACCAAATATTATGGTCTCTGTTCTTATTGTAATTAGGGTATTAATATTTATTTTGTGCATATTTTCAAAATATAAAATAAATTAACTAATTTCAGAATTTTTCTTCATTAGTTTCTAATTTCTGTTATTACTGTTAGCTTACTTTCATATTTAAATATTTTTGATACTGTCATTATTAGAAGATATGCGTAAAGCATAATGTAGAATCATTGTGCTTGCGAACCAGAATGTTGGCTTGTAGTTTATTCGCTGAACTGAAGAAGGTATGCATGATTTTCATTGCCATATTGTTGAATGATAACCTAGCAACCACATATAATCAAACTGGAAGTTGCAGTTGGAAAAGCAGCTTGTATACATACATGCACGAAAGTGTTTTTTTGCGTACTGGTCTTTAATTCCAGTGAGTGAATTATTGTGATTTAAAAAAAAAAAACTGACTGATTTTAGTTTTTTTTGAGTAAACGAAAAATAGTATGGCAATATAATGTATAGGAATTGAAATCCGTAATGTTGAGGAATTATCTTCTTGTAATACAAAATATGCAATGCAAATATAGTTTTTGGCATGCAACTTCAGTGAAAATGCTAAAATTTGTTTTATAAGCGCTGGAATATAAAAAAGTGGGGATTATAATGTAATAATTGTATAAGTGGTATTTTTATCCAAGATCATTCATTCTTTTAAAATTTTTTAATATTGACAAATGGAACTTTTAATATTAAGAAATATGTAAATAAATATTTAAGCTTTATATGTCCCAAATTTTGTTTGTTATTTTAAATTAAAAGTTTTAAATTTAGATATTTTTGGTGATGCTTTCAAGTATCTGAAATAAATGTATGCTTTTTGAGGTGTTTATTTTAAAATTGAACTGGGAAATATTGTTGTAGAATATAAACACTTCCTATTAAAATGCCCAAAACTGCAGTATTTATATGCATTTAAGTGGAAAAGAAATTAATTTCAGAAATTAGAAATAAAAACTTTATTTTTTTATATTACTTTCAGTAATATGAATGTTATGAGTATTTTAAGTGTTAGTATGAAACTTTTGAATTGCTGCTTAAAAAGATGGTCATGTGTATTGTTTTAACTTGTAAGTGATATGGTGAACAATTTATACATAACTGATTTTGGTTGGGTGCTGCACACTCATAAATGAGAATACTTTCCAAATATGTAATCCTTTCTTTATATAAATATTTAATCAATGATAAAATTTTGCCAATATTGTTATTGAAAAAAATGCAGATACCTGGGTGCATAGTCCTTAGGTAAACAAAATAAGAGTTGAAATAAAAACATGTTGCTTGGATGCTGGGAGCTATACACCAAATCTGCTGAAAGCTGTTTGAAACTACTATATTTTAAAAAGCAAACAGAAGTATTATTTGCTGTTACGTCACTGCCAGTTTATGCTGTATATCATAATAAAAATTATGTTTCTGTTCTTTAAAAAGTGTATTATATGAATCGAGAATTTGCAAAACAAAATAAAAACTCAAAATAGTGCCATTGATAGCTTATTCAGTTAAATGTGAAATTATAATATATTTGTTGAATTTGTAAGCAAGGTAATTTTTATATAGTTTAAGGGGAGTAATTGTGTCACATTGAATTATTACTAGAATTTTTTAGTATTTAGTGAAATACTGAGTCTAGTTAACTAAATATTATTTTTTTACTTTTGTGAAAATATTTGAACTTTGAGATGTTTAATTTGTCCACTTTATCTCTTCACTTCTTTTTATGAAAGATATTTTAGAATTGTTGAAAACTATGCAATATTACA